GAAACACCCAAAAGTGGCGAGAAGAAAATGGTAACCAGAAGTTGCCCTGGCCGAACCAATCTCTTGACATGAACCCCATCGAAACCTCTGGGCCATACTCGACCGGCAAGTCAAGAAACAACCAAAAAAACGAACTTCGAAGAGCGATCTACTCCAAGTTTTGAAGCAAGAGTGGACGAAAATCCCACAATCTAAAAGTGACGAGATGATTCTCACGATGCCCCGAAGGATCAACGAACTTAGATATTAATTAAATAATAAATATATCAATTCATATGAATATGACTGAAAAAATGTCATTTTTTTTCTGAAAAGGTGGTGTCTATTTACTTGTGACCACGCTGTGTACATTCAAGGGTGTCAAGTTAACATTCCAAAATAAATTATAAAGTCCATTATACAGGTCTAACTCGTTGATTATTTTTTCCGAAGTTTTTGTTTGTTTGTAATTAAGCACAAAGCTACATACTGGGCTATCTGTGCCCTGTTCTAAATGATTAGTAAAAATAATTATATGTATAAGCTGAAAATGTTCTTTAGTTACCTTATATATTTGATAGGTGTTATCCTTTTCACGAGGGTTGAAATGTTGTCAGTTGTGGTTAGCTCACCTCGCGATTAACCTACACTGTAAGATAAGCGTGTTTTTGTTTGTTTTGTGTTCACGAGCAAACTTGTACACCTGAGAAATGCTTTACCTGCTAGAGAATAGGTGTTTCCAATCTGAATGACACATTAAGTAAAACATGGGCTAAACGGTAGGTCAGATATCTTAATTTGAACTACTGACCAAAGGAAGGACAACCAGCCAGTAGCGTCAGCCGTCTATACGGATACTCTTCACCGAATAGCGGGATTGGCTGTCACAGCTGAAAGTGAAAAACATGTATAGCATCATATCGCGACTCGAATCTTGGACCCCCCTATCGACGCTCTACTTGAGTATTGAGAAATGTGTATTGAAACAAACCAATTAGTGACTCATATATATATATATATAACAAGAAAACAACTAACCACTGTCTTACAACAGTAGTTGCCCAAAATACCAACTTACACAACAGTGAACTTTGCACTTAATACATAGCCTATAGCATTCAGTACCTGAAGTTATTAATGAGCTTCAAGGGTAATGTTACACAACATTTAAGGCCTGATATTCATAACAACGTTTAGTTCTCCCACTTTTAATGATAACATTCAAACCCTAATTTAAGCAAAAGCTAATGTTGCAGATTACAGGTTATTTATTACAAGCCAGTAGAATACCTATTTGTGTTACTTGTGGCAAATTTTGTAACTAATGTTCACACCGCACGAGAACAGGACATTTATAATATAATAACAGCAAAGTTGTGGAAAAACTGGGTTGGAGACAGTTAAAATCTAACTAAACAATGAGTATTCGATGACGAGGAACCCACTTTGAGACTAATAATGGCTGGAGACGGCTTGAATGGGTAATGAAGAAAAACTTTAATATAAGTTTAACATAACAGCAAATTTACAACGTTTAGACAAGGTTTTATCATCATCAGGTACAAGTAATTTACACTGACACGGATATATATATATATATA